TGTGTGTTAGTCGTGTAGTGTGTGTAGTGTGTGTGTGTGTGTGTGTGTGTAGTAGTAGTAATGTGTAGTGCGATGTACGTACGTAGTAGTGTTGTGTGTAGTAGTAGTAGTGTGTGTGTGTGTGTGTGTGTGTGTGTGTGTGTGTGTGTGTGTGTGTGTGTGTGTGTGTGTGTGTGTGTGTGTGTGTGTGTGTGTGTGTGTGTGTGTGTGTGTGTGTGTGTGTGTGTGTGTGCTTATACATGGGTCAAAGACACTGTGATGACACAAAGTGAACAGGGAATTGATATAAACAGAGGGCCAGATGTAGCCCACCTTGTTCTCTTTTTAATGCTCACTGCATTCTGTCTTGGCTGAGGTTCACACATGAGGCTTTCTGATTTTCCAGTTTACGGTGAGCTGTTAGAGCCTTTAATGCCCAGGCTTCTATCAGAGCCAGTCATTGTGAAATCTATCCACGATGCCAGTTCAATGAAACAAAGGTTTACAGGATGACACACATCTGACAAATTTTCCATAAACCACCGCTCAACGTGAAAAGAGAAAGAACTAAATGAATCTAAACTGTTTGCACTCAGAGAACACATGTTGGTATCTGTTCGATGTTGAATTGAAAACTAAGGTCAATGTTGAAAACTGGAAGGCAGATGAAGAAGAGCCAAACGTCAAAACGTAGCAAAATGACAAGCAGCAATAGGAAGCCTTACATTCTCCCTTATGCAAGTTCAAAATATGCCAACATCACAAACCACCATAAAACCATACGGAAAACATGAACCAACATGTAAGGGATAATGTGCAGCGAGGCGGTCATTATGAGGAAAAGAACACCCGGCTGTTCAGGAGCCCGACGCGAAGCGGAGGGATCTTGATCTGCATGCAGTTTGCTTTTCAGCCAAACTGTGTACAGTTAAATCTACCAAACTTCTTTCTGCAGATGAGCATCCTTAACAACGGTCAATAAATCTATGACAGCGGTCTGTCTGTTCTGGATTAACAACGTGTCACATATTCTGAATTGACCAATCAGAATTGAGTATTTAACTAAGCCAATAATAATAATAATAATAATAATAATAATAATGAGCTTTAAAAGTGCTAGCAGATATTTAGGAAAGGGTAATTGTTAGCCTTGCTTCTACTCTTTACAGTTCAGTATGTTAAGCTAGGCTAAGTGTTAGCTTCAGTACCATACTTAGCGCACCATAATGAGATGGTGAATTGATCTTATCATCTCAGTGTTGGAAAGAAAGTAAATAAGTAAACAATTATATGAATATTTAACTATTCCTTTATATTTAATTAAAGATGTATGTTTGGCTTGAGTGTGACTAATGATGTAATCTGATTGACATTTATCCATTGAGATCAGATAACAAATGTTTTATGTACTGCATATATTTCCACAATGCTTACTTTGCAGCTGATGAAAATGCTAACCTTTTAGAAACAGTTTTAACGTTTTCCAAACCAGAACAAAGCTTTTAACTGCTGTGAAATCAGACTAGCTTGTAGTTTTCTAGCTCAGACTTTGACTACCTGAGTTTACAATATATCTTCGGCATAAAAAGCCTATTCTCCCCTTTTCACTATAACTCTGACCAACAGTGTATTACATCTGAAATGGGAATAAGGCTTGGCTTGCTTTGGTTGGACCATTGCACCAAACGTGATTCTGATCAAACTGGAACCAGTTCTTATTTAATTAAATCTGGGAAGTGGAACACTTTGCCTAATGATAATTACCCAGGAAAAGACTAACAAATAGTGATTCAGTTAATGCAAATGTCTCATATAATGGAGTAAATATTCCACTTCACCGTCCCCTAGAACATAAACAGCTATGATTGGAATACATTTGTCATCTTTAATTATTGTATATGAAATGTTGGTTTACATTTCAAATATGTTCCCTCATGTTCATCCAGCTGGTTTACTTTGCTCAGTGTTTACTTACATGTGGTATATCTTGTTTAAGTGTTCTTTGGTGATGTTGATGGCTTCTGGCCCAGCTTGCTTAGCATAGGTTAATGCTAGAAAAATCATTTTGGCCTCGAAATAATACAATTTGAAAAGCGACGTGTTGATCAAAACTTAGCTTGTGTTGAAATTCAAACCTTCTCCCCAGGGACTATTTTTTTTACTATTTTTGGATTTAAGAGTTCATGCAATGTTTCAGTCCAAACTCATTACATCCCATGATTCATACTGTCTATTTCTGCCAAATGTTGCGTTGGCTCAGCAACAAAGAATGCATATGGTTTTGTGCAAAAATTCCAACAGATTCAAGAAAAATTGAAAATAATCTGTTTACGTCAGTTTATATCTGCATGATGTTGCTACATACAGTAGCAGAGGTCCCATAGTTACATGTATTGTGACATTCATGGCCACAGGGCATTTGTTTATTTGAAATATGTTCCTTACCTTTACAAAAAAAAAAAGAAGTTTGCCAGGGGTTCAGCTGGTATAATCTGAACTGATAAATGTAAAGTATATCTGATCTATTGCAGGTTGTTTAGCAGCAGGCACATAAACAAATACAATATTTTATGATTTATTTAGTTCTTTGATATTGGCTAACTTTTAAAGTATTGTGTGTAACTAATGAGTTTCACAGGCAATTCAAAGTTAGGAACATTTTACGTTTGATTGTTTCCGATCGTTCTGCTTGGCAGTCTTGTTTCCTGGAAGGATTTTTCTGCAGGTAAAAACATTAATTATGTGTGACTGCTGAATAAAGATTAAAGAACACTTTACATTGATGAAGTGTCAGAAAACAGTTAAACAGAGAAGGAACGTGGATGGTTGTTGGAGTAAAACCATATTTCCTTGAGGGTGTGGAGCCAGACTCTTAGAAGATAGATGGAATATCGCAGTACTCTGACCCATGTATTGAGCAAGGCGTGATTTCACAGTTTATCAGTATCAGTGAGGTATGCTATCAGAATACCTTCGATCAGATTGTGTATGTGAGCCAAGCTTTTCGACGGGCACGCATTTATATCAGTACAGCATCATGCCAAAGAAACCGGTCCAGAGATCATGACCCGTTGAAACCAAGTTTTTCGATCAGCACTGAGTTATTTATTCATTTCAGTCAGGCATGAAACAAATGATTAATTCTAATGGTTTCCCACATTTGCAAGCCAGGTTTTAGACAAAAGCAGGCTGGGTGTCGGACAATCAGATGGTGCAAAGGCGACTCTGCTGTCTATAAAAAAACACGTTTGCAGTAGTTTCAAATCTTTGCTGATTGAACTCACTATAGGAAATACTTAAAGCAAGGAACCTAGTTAAATTAAGATGTTCTAAAATACAAAAGAGTATAAAAAGGTGGAAGCAGTCTGGCCAATTCCAATGGAAATAAATTCAGCCTGCTGGCACCTCTAAAGCTATAACAAATGAATAAATAAAGTTAAGTGTCCAGCTATAATTGCCTGAGGCAATGCAATCAGAGGAGACCCCAGGCAGTTACTGGTCCCAAGCAACAAATATTGTAGTACACAACTTCCCAGACACCAATGAATTGTTCTTTTTACAGTTTTTAATACAGTACGCTAAGTTACTGAACTGTTATGAGAGTGCTATCACTCTTCCTATCTCGTAAATATTCCTTATAAAGTGTAACACACTTTCTGTGTGTTGTTTGTTGTGTGACTACACAAAAAGAAAACACAATTTTAAAATGTTATGTGTATTTGATGATTTAAAGAAGACCTATTAACATGCACGAAGCAAAAAAAAAAATATATGAGTGAGAAAATACATAGAAAAATGCTGTTTGCAACTAGGCAGGTTTGAGCCTTCCACCCCTAGTTCATATGAAATACCCTTTGTTGAGCCAATAGGCAGTCTGCATCACCATTAGCAAATTCCATACAAACTCAATTTGATCTATCCTATGTTATATTTCATCTACTATACAGTGTGCATTTCATTTGCAGTGCAATAAATGTCATATATATTAAGGTGTGGTTACAAATAATTCCAGGCTCTTAAATGTCACATCATTTGTATTACAGGACAGGATATTTTAAACTCTATGATCCAGGTTTCAATTATCATGACAAGAAGTGCACTGTCTGTGATGCATTAGGATTTATAACAGTTAAGACAAAATCCTCCTGAACTCTACTGCTGTTGTGAAATGTAGGGTGTGATGAGAAAAGAGGAGAAACTGTCCCTCATGTTTACAACTCTCTATTTGTGTTATATCATTTATCACTTACCTTTCACACTCCTTTAAATCCTATAGATACCACAGTGGCCTCTTGCCACACACATGCTCCCAATACACCGAACATAAGCAGACGTACTAATGAAAGTCAGGACCATTTGTTTAATCATATGGTTTCTTTTCTCCCTGTTAGCAAAAACAAAGCCAGTTTCCAGACAAAGACTTATTGTCTGAGAAAAATCCTCTGCACAAAACTACAGTATATCCCATATCATCAACTCAATACGTAGAAAGACTTGGGCTTTCCTCTTCAGTGGCAATTTGATTTCATTTGTCATTTTCCGAAACTAATGTGAAAAGCACTCCAATTGTTTTGTTCCAAATTATATGTCATGCTTCTCTGAGATCCACTTCTTCTTGTGGTTGAGTTGGCAGGAGGAGAGGAAGACTTTGGGACTTTCCCCAGAAGGAAATAGTGGATCTATTCTGTGAGAACTTGAGTTAAAAATGGAAAGGCATATTATTTATTCATACTGTTTTTAGAAATCACAGATGGTCTTGTTAGGATACTCTGTACGTTTGGCTGAGCACATATTTTCTGCTTGTGTATAGCCAAAGGTCGAGTTTCATTTCTAGGCACAAAACAGAAGACGAACACCGAAGGGGACTGAGTCTCTTTAGCCAACATTATTACATTAACTTAAGTCTTTCATATCATCAAAACACTCCTTCTTTTTCTGTTTTGTATGTTGTATGTTTGAGTTCATATTTAAATGTGTTAAAAAAACAGTTTAGGGTCCAATTAGGATTGGTAAATTGTATGGAAAGATAGAAAGAACAAAAATGTTTCTCAGTATCAAACGTATGTAACCAATTTATTTGTTATATTGGCACTATTGAGTTTGGTAATTGTTTTTAGCATCAAGTTGACCCAAATAATGAAACAAAAATAGAGTGGTATCCAACCAGTCAGTTAGATCGGGTTTAATTTGTTCAGGTTTTAAGATACACATCTGCCTCCAGATGTGATTAGTGTTCTCCCCTAATGTGTTCATTTGGAGGCAGAATTTCAGTGACAGATTATCACAAAACATAGATAAATACAAAGAAAATGAGCTTGGCAACCCTAGAGGTATGCTATGTTTTCCAAGCTTTTACAGAACTGTAATGACAAATGTGTCTGTCGTGTCTCAATCAAGGTTTTGGCTTTACAAACGTCCAAGCCCTCGGCTCTTGATTCCAAAACCTCTGTTTCATCATATAGACTAGAGCATCTGCTCAGCTCAATTTTCAGGGGAAATAATTCAGATTTAACAACACATGGGCTGATTATTCTGTTTTGATTGCATCAACAGAGTCAAATAAAGCCTTTATGAGTTCAACAAAGCAATTACATTTTGCAATACGGTTGAATATATTGGATGTTTGCATTACTTTAAAGTTTTGAGGTCATTAATCATCACACACATTTTTTTCTTCTTTGTCTTCTCCTTTTCTCTTCCTTCGTAGATTTTCTGGCCCCCGTTACCCGGCAATAGAGAGGAATGCATTCAGACGGGAAAGGAACCGCAGGTAACCGACTGACTTTTAATTCCTGCTTGTTCTAACAATTTATATTAAACATCCTGGCCTTCTAAAAATGACTTTACCATACATTGACACTCTGTTGTCAATTAGCTTTCAATGGACAAATGTTCTTCCCTAACTGTTCACATTTTATACATGAAAAATACACCAAGTAGTGGCTAAAGTCGGCGTAGGGGGAGATCAGTGACGGGATGGATGGAGATCAATCTCAATCAGGACTTTTACCCAGGAGATGCTGTTCTTTGTAAAATGAAATGTCAAGTAAACTTATTTTTACTCAAGTATGTACGTTTTCATCCCTTACTAAAAATGTGTATGTAGTTCAAGTCAATAGCAAATGAGCTTATTTAAACCAAAACCATGACTTTTTACTAAACCTTAGCAAAGAGCTTTGATTACAACATAAACCACATTGAAACTGCGACCGAAATCAGGAGGAGAAATAAGCTTTTCTTAAAATATAGTTAATTTTTTATTTTATTTTACAGGGTTGCCATGTTAACAATGAATGCTCCCAACTAGTTAATTAATACCGTGTTCTGCGTTACCTGCCCTTTACATGTCTTCCAGTTCCTATTGTCCAGAAATCACCTGACCTAGAAATCAGCCTACCAACTGCTTCTCATTAGCTAAAAGCCTTGAAGTAAAAAGCTTGTAGTCAGAGGCTAGTTTTCATTTTTGTTTGTCAGTTGCTTTGTTTCTGTAGCAGACAAAAGATATTTCCTGCCAGTACTCAACCAACTCTGTTGCCAATGTCCGCTCTGTTTGCTGATTGTTGAATTTATTTGCCCATGGCCTGACAGTCTGTCTGTCTTCTTTCCACCAGTATTGGTGTCTCCATTTAAATGATCATCCCTGTTTCCAATAACTGAAACATATTACATTGTTGTCAAAAATAAACCCAACAGACCCATCTTTTTCCATAGACTGCATTGACCTACGCTGTTGAGCCGTTCTATACTGTTTGCCAAAATGCCTCCAGTGAATTCAGAGAAGCTGCTCTCAGCATGGCACGAGCATCTTCCAAACCATAGCTTGTCAAGGTGGTTTTTGGATTTTCCGCGATTTTGACAACTCATCAGCTGAATCCTGTTTCCACGTCCAGCTCTGTTTGGCTCTGTGGATCTCCTCTATCAGATATGTGGTGATAGGGAGTGCAGAATGTGCCTTGAGCATTTGCAAACCAAGCTTAAAGTTAATGGCATAATTAGACAATTTGGTGCCACACTGCTCCCACACATCCCCTAAAATGTTTCCGTAAGCTATCAACTACTTTGCTATGAAAAAGGCCATTGTTTTATTAATGGAGAGAAAGGAAAGAGAGGTGCAGAGACACAGAAAGCTTTCAGAAGCAAATTGTAAATGTAAGTGAATGAAGAATTTCATTAGTTCTGTGAGGGAGTACAAATTGAAGAAGAGAACAAGCAAAGGAAGGGCAGAGGCCATCTTATTACGATCATGTTAAAGACAAAATATATGAGGAAAGGATGATTCTGAAGCTAATGTAAAGAAAAAAAACATGTATATACTGAATAGAACCAGTGACCAGGGTACCTTGAGTCGTTCCCCTTCAGGCATGCTGACTCAGCTTTATGTTTGTTAGCCTGGAGGTGGTTAACATATGGTATAAGGTAGCTAATAGAAAGAGAAGGGGAAGAGAATGTTATTAAAACACTGTTAACAGGAAAGAAAGATATTTAGTGAGGTAAAGAGGGTAATGTAGGGGAAATGTGTTGTAGAAGTGTCACTCTGGGTATGGTAATGCCAGTCTGTTGGTCGGCCCACCTCTTTGGACTAGACTGAAATATCTCAACAACTTCCTGGTTGACTTCCATTATATTTTGTTCAAACATTTAATGGTCCCCAGAGGATGACGCCTATTGTGTCTGTTGATCTCTTGGGTGCTGATCCAGTGCTACCTTGAGGTTTGAAAATTGGCCAGTGAAATGTTTTTGACCATTGTAGGATGGATTGCAATGTTGTGATCCCATTTATAATAACCATTCTTAGGGCAAATGTAAATATGTTCAATACTTTGGTACATACTGTAACATAGTATCTCAGATACATCTTTGTACTGTACATTGTATATAGTGATAATTATCGCATTCTAACACGTTACACTCGGGCAGTGTAAGGCTCTTAAAGTCTTGAAAATAATAAAGCAAGCAATAATAAAAAACGGACAGGAAATAGGAAAATAAATGCCGAATAAAATAAAATAATGAATGAACTCTCTTTTCTTTGATGTACTGAGACGTCGTTACATTTGGTCCCAGTTGGAGAAGAAGCTCCCAGTGGCCTTAGTGGTGCACAGAATACATAAACCTGCCCTAATTACTGGTTTACACACATATAGTAAATCCCACACACACACTCACCCAAACACACACACAAGATGAAGACACTGTTGTACACGTTGTTATAGGTCTGTGACGTTTTGTGCCGCCTTGGCAGAAATCGGACAGCTAGCGCCATCTGGAACGGGTTAAAAGGTGTGTGTGTGTGTCTATAATGTAAGGGAATATGCTCTCTATGTTTGAAGTGGCAGGTGTGTCTTGGGTGTCTTATATCAGTTTTATTAGGTGTTTCCTCTGCGCTTGGCATTCACGACACTATGTGTGCGTTGCCATGCACTATACTGTACTGTCCATAGCGGAGAGGAGTCACTTTGCATTATTAGACAGGTCTTATAAAAGTATGTATGTAACTCTACCTTACAAGTGCCAGAGGAGTCATAAAGATGTTTGTGTGTGTGTGTGTGTGTGTGTGTGTGTGTGTGTGTGTGTGTGTGTGTGTGTGTGTGTGTGTGTGTGTGTGTGTGTGTGTGTGTGTGTGTGTGTGTGTGTGTGTAATTGAGTAACAGAGAGATATGTTTTTCGGCATCTTTCTGCATTCCTTCACGTCTCTAAGTTTCAGAGTTTTTCAGGTGTCAAATCAGATTGATTACTGCTGTATCCTCTGGCATCTTCAAAGCAAAAGTCACGCACACGGCACACACATATGTTTCATCTCATATGTTTGCTGTTGAAAGGTGAAAGGTCTTGACATTGTTTTTTTGGACGTTTGTGTGTGTGTTTGATGATGGAGAAAAAATACATAAGAGACAGACAGAAAGAAGGAGAGCAACATTACCAGTCCATGAAGCACATGCACGTCTTTGTTATCTCAATATCACAACTTGACATTAAAAGTGAGAAGAAATGAAAGTAAAGCGGCCCTTTTTGTTTACATTTGAATGAAAGCCTATGTCTTTACAGCCTTCTAACACGTGTCTACCACCTTAAACTTGTATCTAATGACAGCGTTCCCTCCCAGAGTCGCAACCTTGTGACCTTTTCCATCATTAATTACAGCTCGGACCAATAAATAACAGGCTGAAGGGAGGCACTCAGTGAATTCACCTGAGCATGCAGTGTCTTGCTCTCACTGTTAACACATTTTTCTGCTTCGATCGGCATTGTTTGCATATAATTGGGTAGATTATCTAATCAGCTTGTTGCTTCCTCCATCTCTAATGCTTTGCAATTGTGTTACATAATAAAGCCGAGGGTTTTAACACAAACAAAACTTTGCTGGCGTAGAACGGGGATAGCAGAGGGAACAAATCAACCATTTTGAGTGTGAATAATGCAGCTTTGAGAAAACTAAATGAGGCATTGCGCATGCAAGTCAGTACTCTGAATTTAAAAACACTGGTTTGTACACTTAGTTCTGTGTTTTCTTCTCTACAGACAAGCTTGATAGTGCCAGTAATCTGCCTCCCCTCATGGTTTGGCTTTATCAGTAGAGCTGTTATTGGTTCCACTTTAGTTTGAATCTTGGGTGTCTGAGTGTAGGGAGGTGAGAGACTGTACTGCAACAAAAAGAGAAGTTATACTGCAGCAATACGTCTTATGGTCAGAGGTTTGTGTCCTCATGTCTTACCATCTATAAATGTTGGTATAAATAGTTGTCTATGAATGTAATGTTTTTAAATCCTAAACATAGTACGTTTGATTTATTAGAGCTTTCCAAAACTCAAAGAAGACTTTAGAGATTAGAAAACACAGAGTAATAGTTGGAACAAGAATACTTATTTAGACTGACTTTATAAAAGAGCCCTAAAGAATCCGTGTTTTTTGTGTTATATCTTTACACTTGTTATAGGTAATACTGCTGGGTAACAGACTGGAGGGAAAGGGCCAGACAATTTGGTACCTGCAGTACTGTAGGAAAACAAAAGTATTGTAAAGTTTGTTCAGAAGCAGCAGAAATCCCTAAAACCATGTTCCTGTTGACAACAAAATGAACTAAATCATTAACTATTGAAGTTGCACTATGCAGTCATTCTCTATATTGACTTGTGCATTGGTAAATTATGTTTGTTCCAATCCATTAAAACATGTGATGTGTTACTGTTTATACTGGTATAATACATCAAAGAACAGCTATACTGTATTTCGGCCCCAGATTTGGTGAGACACAGCAGCTTCTTTTAATATTGATGAAAGAAATGCCGCATAGGAAAGAGACACAGTGTGGTCTGTTTCCACTGCCAACCTGTTGCTTAAGGTTGGTTGCAGCTCTTACGCTAGAAAGCCAAGTTGGTGACAGATTTTTAGTTTTTGGAATCCTAAAATAATTATTCGACTGTTTAGGATGGTGGGAGTAGCTGGTATATGTTGGGGGGAAATCCTCTCACGCACTTTGGCAACAGTTTCTTGCCATGACTGAGTGTTTTCAGTGCCTTCTGGAAGTCAGTGGAGAGTAGAAAACATGTTTCTTTGAGGATCAAACAACTGCTGACACCAAAGACTTGAAGAGGCCGGTTCATCCAGCTATCCGGCTTTGAACTTCGTTTACGATATTTCTGTGTTTGTGATTGTGTTTGTGTATTGGATCCAGTTGACTGTAGCCTTGTACAAGTGCGTGTGTGTGTGTGTGTGTGTGTGTGTGTGTGTGTGTGTGTGTGTGTGTGTGTGTGTGTGTGTGTGTTCTGTGTGTGTAAATGTTAATGTTTTGGTCCTCATTTCCTGTTAGTATTATAGAATCAGACTTCCCTCCACTGAACATGTGCTGTTTATACTGGAAACTGCTCTCCATTTTCCAAACTTGCCTCTCCCTGCCCGGGTCACTCGTCACAGAACATGTTGAGCAGCTGGAGCTCTCTTTGCTGTTAGCTCCATGTTAGCTCTTCCACTTTGCTCCATTTACATTGCTCACAAACTGGCTGCGACCAAGAAAGTGAAGTCATTTCAAGTAAAACGATCACATTTTGGCCCAAACTTCCTCTGTTCTCTTTACTTTTCTCTTTACTTTTGTTTTAGGATAACATGCTATGTTGATGTACTGGAACCAAAAGCTGTGTTTTCCCAAATCGCCAAAAACATTGCTAGCCTGTGGATGATTCCGACTCTGGCAAATCAAAATTAGTCTTTCAGATTTAAAACAAAAAAAGATTGGCGTTCAACAAAAGAGGAGAGGAGAATATAATACTGCTGCCTCTTAGTTAGTTGGTTCTTATATGACATTGCCATTTTTTCCTTTAGGTCCTTATTAGGGTTACATCAGTGCACTATTTTTGCAAACCCTGTTTAATCTACACTACAGTAATATCAATAACGTGTATTCGATGATGTGGCAAAGAGGTGCAGAGTTCAGAACTGTCAGCCTGTCCTGGATAAACTTGGAAGAGAAATAGTATGAGAGATATTTTCCTGGTCCTTGAGCAAATTTCCTGATTACATTTACAAATTACATATAAAGAATGCGTCTCTGCCAAATTATGATGCTGGGTTATACTTACGTTAAACAATTCAGACTATAATGAACATGATTTGTAGCCTGTTACTGCTCATATGATTTTTCTCAAAATAAAGACCACATTTACCATAAGACAGTTTTTTTATGTCTTGAAAAATACATTTGTCTCCACCTTCTCTGCTACAGCAGTCAATGTTTTTTTCTTTCCAATATCTGGAAAACATATGTTGGAAGGGTCCATATTCAGATGTCAAATAAACTTTTAGTCAAACCATTGGACTGGAAATGTTTACTCAACCGGCAGTACAATTGTTTGTAACGTGGGAATTAATTGTGCTGTTATTTTTCCACACCTTCATATGACAATTAACTTTTGTTGGACGCACATTCTCCTCCTGTTTTATTCGCCAAAATCAGCATACTCTTTTGGAAATCCTTTCAGTATTTCAATTTGTCAAGGCCAGGAGAGTCTTGGTAATGTTCCTGTTTGTTTATGTTAATGGGAGATATGTCTAAAAGCAAATGTGGTTATAACTTGATGTTTACAATTCTATACATACCCTTTATTAACCCCCAAGACACTGTGGTCAGTTTAAAACAGTGTGAAGCAGCAGCTTGGCTTCGCTAGGAAGGAGCATTTGTGGTCAGCCAACATCCCCTTGATATTCAAAAGGTTACAAAAGAACATTGCAAGCTTTTGTTTCTAAGAGCATGACATTGGCTATAAATGCAGTGATTGAAAAAATCCATTTGAAATTCTGGCTCGATTTTAAGACTACTCCCTAAAATCGCCCAGTGAGACAAAACCATATTTAGCAATCGAACCACTTCATATTCTGTTTAACCCATCACTCCCTTTATTGCCACTTAATCTCAGAAAGACCACACAGACACGTTTAACCCCAAATCCCACAGTAGGAGAGCAGAGGCATATTTCTTCTTTTCAACATTTAATTCCACTCTTCGCTCTCCTTGGCCACACAGATCTCTAAGACGACTCCCTGAGCAGTAGAACGGAAACATAGGAGTAACATCATTCTATTCATTCTAAATCCACTTGGATCTTAAAGACCTCATATATCTTTTATAACGATGTTGTGACCTAATGTACAGTCCAGCTTTTAACATTTCCCTCCAAGGTATGATTTGGGGGTAATTAATTAGAAGGAAACAAAATGTCAAATGTGCTCATCAATATCCCCCTGCCTCAACAGAAACATACTGGCACAAGAGATTCCAACATACTCCTTGCATGTACTTAAGAGCAATTGTCTGTGTAGTTTATTAATGGTCTGGGTTTGTTTGGGTAGGAATAATGAGCCAGCAGGAAAGAGCAATGTGGATGTAAACTATTTATCGTACTGAAGTAACATGGTTTACATATTCTGCAGCGCCGAGTGTTTGAGAGGGACGTGGGCCACAAAATGACCCACACATGCACTTGTAAAAACACTGAGACTAGTCTACTACACAAGCACATGTCTATGCGTCAAACTCAAGGAAAAGTCATTATCTCACAAAATACATTTTATTTAAGTCGGGAAAACGCACTTATTTAGTACTTATGCATTCCCTCCAAAAAGTTTTGGTTAGCTGCCTAGATCGGAAAACAGGAGATTCAACAAGCCATTAAGATGTTGCTCCTCTTTGTATGCCTCATGCATGCTCATATACCAAACCCTCATTTGAGTATAGTCACCAACTTTTTGAGTCAACCTCAAAACGTTGGTGCATGCCATATTTTGTCAGAGTAGACTGAACTTTTTTCGAAGTTGGGCTTAAAAACACAAGCTGAACGGAACCCTAACCCTGAAAACTAGCATAGTAATTCCTCCCCTTTTTTAGACAAAGAACAATGCACAATTTGATTACATGTACCTCATCTCCATTCATGTACCCATGTTGAACAGCCAGACAGTCACAATGCAGATATGAGTTTGACCTCGTCCACTTGGGAGAATGTCGACCGGCCGATCCCTTTCTTTCCCGCTAACACCCGTTATGTCAGCCGCTGCTTTTACAGACACGAAGAAGGAAGTAGTCGTGCCCTCTGCTTCCTCTGGACCTCTGTTTAGTACAGAAACGTCTCCATACTTGTTTCCTCAGTCATCACTTCTTTTGTTCTTAAGTGTGTTTGAGTGTATGGCCTTTTGACATTGTTCACTTGAATATCCTTCTTTCCATTTCAGGCCTGTCTCCATTTTAAGCTCGGCAAACACAGCAGCTGAGTATGTTACGTATTCATTATTCAAGTTAAAATCAGAGTTATCGTTGGTGTCTTCATATCCCGTATGACTCAAAACATTTCATATTTAATTATCCCTCACATTTTTATTTTGGCACCAAAGCATTTCTGATGCTTTACAAAGTCCTTTGACCCGTTTGTGTTGAAACGTGCTTTACAACATCAGCATGTCACGTTGGCTGGAATCCAAAAATCTGAGATATGAGTCCTACGTGGGACACTGAGGATATCACATTTCTTCTAATAAAGCTCTTTTCTTGGCCTTCATTATGAACATGTGGGATCAATAAGCCTCGCTAAGGAATCATTCTGGTTCTCTTCAGTACCCTGAAAATCAACTTATCTACATTTGGATGACAGTTACCTTTGCACCGTGTGATTTGATTAGCTTAAGGGCCCTTCCCTGTGTGTGTGTGTGTGTGTGTGTGTGTGTGTGTGTGTGTGTGC